ACCGGAGTCTGGGGCGATTTTCGACTTGGCAACCATTCCTCGTATTATAGTATAAGATTATTATAGTTCATATTAAAACAAGGTCAAAATATCAACTAACTGTAAAACGACAATAAACATTGCTTTTCCCATTTATGGAACAATTTTAACTTGACATCAGGAATTTTCAGGATGCGGTTAATTTTTTCTTGTCTGGCCTGTTGGTTTGAGTTGGTCCTTCAGACATACTGGTGCCAAAGACTCACAAAAAGGCCAAAATTTAGATTGGCCATAAATTCCAATTGACAATTTTTAAAAAAAAGCAGAATATGTTCCGCTGTTAGCGTTCAAAAAACGGTTGAAACTTCTTTTCTACTCTCGCACCCAGTTTCATTTTAGTTGTGAACACACTAACTTGTCCAAATTTGAATTGACCATGAACTCTTATTGTCAATAGTATGGCAATGCATGCTATACGCAGCTTTCAAAAAACGATTGAAACTTCAATTCTCATTCGACACTTAGTTTCACTTCAGTTTTAAACATTCTAACTGGTCAAAATTTGGATTGATCATGAACTCTTTTTGGCGATAGTACAGCGATAAATTCTGTTTAGAAGCTAAAAATAATTGAAACTTCAATTCTCATTCGGCACTTAGTTTCACTTCAGTTTTAAACATTCTAACTGGTCAAAATTTGGATTGATCATGAACTCTTTTTGGCGATAGTACAGCGATAAATTCTCTTTCAAAAGCTAAAAATAATTGAAACTTGCATAGTTACCAAGCATGAAACTCAGTTGATATTTGAGTGTTCTAACTAGCTAGAAAATTTTTTTTAAATATTTATTTGAAGATTTTTCTCTAACTGATTTGAGCTAAGTAAAGTTAAGGAAAACTAAGGATGGTACGAGACAAAAATTCAAAAATAAGAGTTTTATATATTTGGCATCTTTAGTTACATAATGCAAAAAAAAAATTTCTCAAAAATACATTTTGTTTTACGAGTTTTTTGAGATTCTACTTTAGCGTTCATAGCATTAGCAATAGAAGGAGAAAACTGCCGTGTCAAAGAAAAATCAACGTAAGTTACTAAAAATTCGAAATTGTAAATATCTATATGTTTGATGGCATCTTCATATAATAAACTACATAGTGCAAAAATAAAAGAAAAAAAATCAATATTAAATTTTGTTTTATCAGTTTTCTGAAATTCTAATTTAGCATTTATAGCATCATTTAATGAAAGAAAATTAATGTTAAGCCACTTTTTTCTCTGAATCAATCTTGAAGTACTTATGCTGTTTTTTTCAATTCCAAGGCAGAATTGTCTTATTCTGAGACTTAAATGTTATAGTTATTAGAAAAAAGAATATAAAAGTATTATTACCTCTGGAATAGACATCATCACCTGGTAGTAAAAAGTTTTTAAAGCTGACGGGTAATACATGCTTTTAGCAAACGGGTCCACTTCTCCCTTCTCATAAGCATGTTTCTAAAATACAAATGGTTCATAAAGAATTTCTATCTCTGAATAACACTGTGAAAGAATAGTTAATGTCACTATTTCTGCGAATTTTATCACTATTAAAAAATTATTTAATTCTGGTTTTTGAAATCAGGTGATTTTTCAAGAACAAGAGGGCCCTAAGAGTTCGAGTGAGAGTTTCAGAAATAGATGGGCAGCTATTGATTTGTGAATTTTCCACAAAGAGTATCTAAGTTTGAATATAATCCTTTACTCCTTAATAATTTTTAATAAAGCGCATCATAAATTACACGAGGAAACAAATTTTCTGTTGCATTTATACAAATACTTGTTCGGGTATGGGATTTCAAGTCCAAAATTATTTTTACTCCTAAAGCTACAGATTTTTTTTTTTTTAAATGACATATTTAGTAATTTTTTTGTCGAAATGTAGAAGTTTTAAAACGTTATGTATAACAAGGGGTTGCGTAAATATTGCGACAAACTTCTAGGGGAGTCATTAAAATAACCAGGATAAAAATTGCACACAAACTTATGCCATCGTAGGTAACTAGGGGCGCTTTCCTATTATGACCTGTTTAGAAACACACGGGGAAAAAACAGTTCATAATAGGGAAACGCAACTAGCGGTATATGGGGACATTTCCGGAGGCTAGATTCTACGCAATTTTAGTACTAATGATTCGTGCTAATTCCTCTAGAAAATATAGTCGCAATATTTATTCAACCCCCTGCTACATATAGCGTTTTTAAACCTGTTCATTTCGAGAGAAAATCAACTAAAAATGTCATTTAAAAAAAAATTCTGTAACTATATCTAGGAAATAGAGAAACCGATTGCTGTGCTAGAGTATCTAAGATTAGTTTAAAAAAATCTTTTGCAACGAAAAATAAAAATATGAAGCTGTCCTCTAGTGTAATTTATCTGTCAACACAATCAATGAAAAACCATTCGACGGAATGATGACCTATCATTTATTAATAAACATTATTAATAACAATATCATTTTCTGTATTTATTTATTGTTAAATTTTGTTAGAGATAAACTTGTCATTTCACGTTTTTTTCCCCTTTTAAAAAAAAATTTATATTTCTCTCTATTTGGTATAATTTTTTGAGATCTCTCAAGCGCAGAAGTAGCGAACTATCAGCAAAGTCTGTTTTTAAAATATTTCAAAAATAAGTAAATAAATAAAATGTACTTACGGAAAGTGCTGCCATAAAAAATTTGCAAATAAATTCGGCACCTAAGGGAGACGTAGCACCAGGCATAACTTCTCTGAAAAACAAATTAAATGCATAAATCTATTTCTAGAAACCAATTTTCTTTATTATAAGCATTAAAACTCCAATGTAAATTGGTTTATTTTTTTCAATGATACTTTCCATGACATCAAACGAAGAAAGTTTCTCAAAAGTGAAAAAATTTCATTTCTTATTAAAAGACTTATTTAAAAATATTTGCAGGTAATATTTTCAGAATACTCAATTCTTTCAAATTGTAAGCATTTTAAGGTAATGTTGGAGAAAATTTTTCATTATTGAATTTATTCTTTTACTATTCGAAAAATTCCCTCCTCGAATGTCGAAAAATTTCCTTCGAAAAAGTGAAGTTCACTAACTCAATGGTGCTTAACCAAAAAATACTTATAAACACGAACAATTTTTCGTAACTTAAATTTACGCAGCTTAAGAGTTTATCCATTTTTGGAAAAATGTGTTCATTCTATTAACACTTATTATAAAAATATTACAAACCACTAGAAGCGTGAAACTCCTCACAAGGTTTGACATGTTTCAGCAACCACTGTTCAGGTATAGTGTTGAAATACACTGCTGTTCAAAATTTAACGAATATGCATATTTCGTTGCATTTTTTTAAAAAAAAAACAACTGAGCGAAATCTAAAACTATTGCTTCGAAACAAAGATGTAAATCTTGTGTCTTGAATACGTAAGCTTATAAGTGAGTGGGGACGGAGCTAGTAGATGAATAGATTTTATAATAGCACGGCAAAATCTGCATTTGGTTCACTTGAACATCTTCCTGAATTTCTATTTTTTTTTCTTTTTGCAGCAACCTGCACAGATTCTTTAAATTTAATTTTAAACAAAATAGAGTAACCTTCAAAGATAAGATGATGAAATAAGGTGCAGCTAACTGTTGTAAAATTTGCATGCCTATCTCAAATCCAGATTTATAGAGAATTCAATAAAACTTCCACTGTCAATGAAATTTATGAAAACAGTTTCAGGATTCCGAGTCTGTCGAAAGAAAGCCTGACCAAGGTCAGCCAAAAGCCACAATGGCCAACGAAAATGGGTGTTAGTCGATTAAAGCGAGGCGTCTTCGCTCTCTCATGGCCTCGACGCGGCCAACAGAGGCCGAGTTTCAAGGGATATTTTTACCAGAAGACTTCATACAAGAAGGTTGCTTGAGCCTTGCTGACTTCTACTAACAGAAGATTCCACTTAAGATCATTCAGAGATCATAGAGATTGTAGCACGGATAAATTGTCGAATTTTCTCTTCACTGATGAGTCCCGCTTCAGCCTGACCACTGGCTCTCGACGTACTTTTACAAGGAGAGTACTAGGGACCTGCTTCATGCTCTTTAACATTCGAGAAATTGACCGTTACAGTGACAGAGGTTTGTTGGTCAGGGCAAGCATAATGCTTGATTCCAGCTCACCCTTCCATATCTTTGAAAAAGGTACTGTATGACTGATGTAGGGTATAGGGATGAAGTCTTGGAGTCCTACAATCGCCTTTTCAGGGATGCAATGGGTCCTGGTTTCAATTTAATGGTTAACAATGCCATACCACACAGAACACTTCTGACTGACCATTTTCTGGAAAATGAAAATATTTGCCGGATGAATTGACCAGCCATATCTCCAGGCCTGATCCCAACTGAGCATGTCTGTGGTGCTTTGGGGGTAGATAATTGTAACACCGAGAACCATCTCGTGTCTAAAATCAGGCTACTGAATAAGTGAGAAAAAGTGCCACGGTAACTCTAGAACTGCCTTATTTCCAGTATTGCAGTGCGAGGCTTGTACGAGGGAGCCATACCTCCTAATTAAACCATTTTTATACAAATCTGTAAAAACTCTTTGATGCCATACAACTCTGATCAGTGTTACGCATGATCTTGTGTACGTTTTATAAATGTACATCTTGTTATAACTGTTCATCCGTAATCTTGTGGGACGTATAAATCATAATTCGTTTCATTTTAATCAATTTCAGGTTACGTATATACTCAAGAAGCAAATTTATAACTAAACTAGACATAGAACAAGGACTGCAAGTTAAACTGTCGGATGTACATAAAACCTAATTAAGGATTATTAATGATTACACGATGAAAAATCTTCCTTCCTTTAATTAATTATTTTAAACATGGTCTTTCACAAGTTATAACATTCACAATTACCTTAAACTCTGCTGAGAGAAGGTTGATTATTTAAAGTTCCGTAACCGAAAAAAATTTGGAACCGCTGATCTAGAACGTTATCATGCTTTTGCTACACTTTTACGCATGAATAAATAAATATACTGTAACATACTCTTACCCCACATTTGCTACAGTGAAGTAATCTCTTTCACTTCTCAAAATACAGTCAAATTCATGTTTCAACTCAAATTCAGTAAGTGATGCTCCACTCGTAACAGGTCGGCTCTAAAAAATAATTGAAATTTTTGATTCATAAATGTTATAAAGCAGTACAAAATATTTGTCGAAATTAATTATTTTATATCTTCATTTGTTAACTAAAGCATTTTGCAGATTCTTGCCGGAAAATTATTACCAGTATGGCAAAGTCTATATTCTTTTATGAAGCAGTTCCTCAAAAAATGGAATACCTGCAAGTGACGTAGTGTTGGTAGTTCGATTCTGATTAGTTGTTGAAAGGTAGCATTTTTTTATATTAGCAACTGTTCTTTCCTGCGTCTATTTTGAGTGAGCTAAGCCTGTCAAGTGCCAATTCTCTTAAGTAGCCTATATTCTTTCTTTGAAAGAAATTTCAACTCTTTCACCATATATTTACATAGACTTAACTTAAAGTTTGACAAGAAACCATGTAAAACATAAACAAACTTATGCATCGAATTTGCCAGATATACAAAACAAAAATATATCATGGTTCCAATAAAATACATAAACAAATAATAAATCTAAGTTATGTAAACAAAGTAGACGAGAAAGAATTATATTTCAACGAATTCGATGTGCGATACTGCTCCGTATTTAATTAACTTAACGTTAATTAACATTCTACGTTATGTAACGAAGCTTAGCTCTACTTTAATACTCCATTTTGCAGATAAAGCTTAGCTGGTGCTGACTTCATAGGTCACGTGTGCGGGTAAGATCGTATTCTTCTTCTTGGAATACAAACCCGATTGCACTGTGAGGCAACTTCAGACCTACAACATATAGCATAACTTCGATTAATTCTTGATGATTATTTTTCTCCTTTTTTCGAAAGGCTCTGTAGTTGCATTAAATGATGCCATTTTGTGAATAAAATATTAATTCATAACTTCTGCGAGTTTGCAATAGTTATACTCATAACCATATATGGCAACGTTACTTTTGAAAAGTAACGAGTAAAAGTACAAGTATTTTTAAAAAAAGTAACGAGTAAAAAGTAAAAAGTTCTTATTTTAAAAAGTAACGAGTAAAAAGTACAAGTAAAAGTACAAGTACTAAACAAAAAAAGTAACGATTTAAAAGTACATTTCTAGGTAATCGATTCAAAGTAACCTAAAATTTTATTGAATAATATTCTTAAGTTCTTTAATGTTTTTGCGAAATTGTTGTTATTTATTTAATTATTTTTAATTTTGAAAGTTATGGATATTAATTTATTTTTAAATTCGGAAGAATATTATAATATAATTTTATAATATAATCGTATAATATAATTTTAAAATCAAACATAATTTTAATATCAAACTTTTCATGGATTTGCACGAAAAAGAAATTTTATCAATCAATTTTAATTTTTAGTTTATTATTTTTATTTATTCAAATTACCATTGATTTAAAATTGTTTTACTCTTTAGAAACGCGTTTTAAAAGCACAAACATAAACAAAGCAAACACGGGGTTTCAGATAGCTTTGTGATCTTTGAGCTAGTAAAAAATAATTTAATGTGCAGTATAAGTTCAAACAGAAGGTATTTAAACACGAAGTTAGCTGTGAATGCATATATATTGCACATTAATTTTATAAATTAAAAAAACTTAAGCATTTTTTAAATTTAATTTTTTGTTTTTTTAGAAAGCTTACCGAGTTTTAGAAAAAAGTAACAATTTCATTCGATATTTCTGTTTCAAATACTTGTACTTTTTCCCTAAAAAAGTAACGAAAGTACAAGTAAAAGTACTAAATTTAAAAAGTAACGAAGTACAAGTAAAAGTACGTACTTTTTACTTGTAACGGCGGTACAAGTAACGAAAGTAAAAGTACTGCCATATATGCTCATAACTGTCAATTTTATCCTATCTATAGCCAACGCCCTCAATATTTATTCTGAAAATGGCGTAAAACGTCAATATCTGGAAAAGCCAAAATTTCCAGAAAACGGAAAGCTATTGCGATCTTATTTTTAAATATTTAAAAACTTACTCTAATACTGCATTATCTGAGCTCATGAAACTTTGCAAAAACTGAGAATAAAGAATTGATTTTGAATATTTTCATCTGAGTTGAAAGGGATTTTTAGAAAAAGTTTAATAACTTTTAAACTATTTAAGTTACTTGTCTGTTCTAAAGCCCAGATAGATCAAATACTGCATTACCTGTACTCAAAAATTGGAAAAAGCGTAAAAAAAAGTATTGATTTTGATCATTTTCATCTGAATTGAAAAACGTCCCTGAATGGTGATTCTTAAAGAAGTTTAATAAGTTCTAAACTATTTAAGTTACTTGTCTGTTCTAATGCCCAGATAATTTTTTACGGCAAAATCGTATATATAAATTAAAAATATTGCTTTGTCTCAAGTGTAAGGCACTTAAAATGGGGCTTTGTAATTTTCCTTGGTGAAAGACCTAGAAAAAAAAAACATGTTAACCCATAACAAGGTAATAAGCTAAACAAAACTTTAGTCAGGAAAAGCCGTTCGAATTCTAGTAATCTTATGCACATCCAAAATGAAGCAATCTGCTTTATGCTTGCATTTCTCAATTTAAAATTATTAATGAAAAACAGCGTATTTTAAAGAAGCAAAGCTGATTTCGAAAAAAATCGACGTGTATAATGAGCTCAAAAATAAGCGCCCATTCCCAAGACTTGCCAGATGTGAATGAAAAGAAATAGTGAAAGTTTATTTACGTCGCATTAAAACTGCACAATGGGCTATTGGCAACGGCCAATAAAGATCCGTGAGAATGATCCGAAGACATGCCATAACAATTTTGATCCTCTGCAGAAACATAAAGCACAATACTTCATTATTCACAGCAGAATAAATTCTTCTAATACATTTTATAATTCTTTTGCTGTCACTTTTATGTTTTTCGAAATAAAACATTACAAAATTACGTTTTCTCACTTTGCGTTTTATTATAATTCTTGTTGGTCTCTATCACGCAAGCTAATATTTGACTATTACTGTTAAATTTTTGCTATTAGATGAGAAGAAAATTAACTCAAAATAAAAAAAAAACAATATTGAAAACAATGAATACATGGAAATAAGTTTCAAAAAAGAATGCTAGCTAATGAGAAACAATTTATTTTTAAATCGAGGAGTTGATACTGAGCCGCTGTGACGTCACTGACTGAAATCAGAAGCTCGGAATGGCACGAGTCCCTTCAGCGAAGTGAGCTAGCCCTTCTATTCATTCATTAGCCTGGCATTTGCACATGCTAAAGAGAGCTGGTGAGAAAATTTTGTCGTTCACGGTATTCCAAGACTTCAAGAAATCGCCCTCACGCTCTCGACAATTTCTTGCTACATTGCTGCTGATGCCCGGGAATCTTGTTTCGTTCATATAAAATCCGATTCCCCTATTAAGAATCTGAGTTCCTTACTATCTCTCCATAGAGCGTGGAAATGCCCCCAAGGAATGCCAAATGCATGGAAATGTCAATTTAACAGAAGTCTGCCCCTTTCGACCGTAGCTGTTCCCCCCCCCCCTTTATTTTCCATTTTTGTTGGTAACTTCACATTTTATATTTCAAATCACTTTGTTTTTCCTTATTCCAGTCTTGAGTGCAAACGCCTATTTTTGAATGATTGAAACATGATGACCTTCATTTTCAAGTATCTTAATCAAGTATGTTAGTCAAGTATAGCATAAAATATATGGTGTCCAGTTAAGTCTCAGGGAATAAAGCACTCGCCTCTCAATAAGGTGACCCGGTTTCAAATACAATTTTTTTTTTTTTTACAAAAATCATAAGTTGACAAGCGGAAAGGAAAATTGGAAAGATTTAAGTACTACTCTTATAATAATTATGATATCGCCGAAAGATGGAGTAAAATAAAAAAAAAACGTTAAGAAGAAATGGAATTGTTCAAGCGAAAAGATTAATAAGTAAAAAGAAAAAAAGGAGATTGAACAAATAAACAAATGAAAAGCAAAGACCAAAGCAAACAAACCTGCATTAAAATTAATTTGATACGAAAAAAGTAACAAGTTACTCAAGTAAATTGGAAATAAAATTTATCCTAATTCGAACCATAATGCGGAAGTAAAAAATATCCTCAGTGGTAGTCGGATCATGGGTTATGAATCCCCTTGCCGACAAGCTAGCCGGGAGAAGTTTTCGCTGTTTTCTTTTCCACGCAACGTAAATGTGGGTTTGTATCCTCAAAAAAGTCCTTCCATGGGGCGAATTTCTGCCAATACTTTATCTAGGAGTTCTATTGTCTTTTGGATTGGTTTCAAATTACAAGTCTACGGAATTGAACATTGGTAGTCGAGAACTCAATATTGATTCGGCTGCTCAACGACGGCTATAAAATATCAGAAAAAAAAGAGAAAAAAAACGTGTAACATAGTCTATATTGTTTATTAAAATTTTCTCAAACAATTTCACTTCTTTTGATTAATACTTCCACAATTATTAAATTTAAGTTGTTTTTTGAAATTCATAGACTAGTTGCCAGAACTAAACTCGGTGGCGCGGCAGCTCATAAAGGGCCAAAGCCTATTGTGCCCTTCTCAGTTTTCTTGAGCTCTGGGGTTCAGGAGCAGATGTTCCGGTTAGGTGGCCAGACGAACGCGAAACCCCCAGTGTTTACTTCCCAAGCATACTTGGTACTCATTTATCGACCCACTGAATAATTACAACTCATTCTAAATACAAAATGTAAAATCTTACCTGCAGAAGGTAAATTTTATTGTTTAATAAACCCCATTCTATATCTCTTGATGATCGGTAAAACTTTTCAACCTGAAATTAATACAAGTTTACGATTGTTAAAAACATTTTGCTGATTGTCGGGCAAAATATCAATTTATATGAATAGGTAAAAATTAAATACCTATTTTTTTAAAAAACAGAATACGTACTCTTATTGCCAACTTTCCAAGATTAATCGATGTTTCGTCGTTTATGCAAGCTGAAGTTTTCGAATCATCTGGTAAATCTTCAACTTCTGTTCCACCAGACTCTAAAATAAAAACAATCAACGATCAACTTCTGCCTCATAGGCGTGTTCTAGATTTCATGACTCTTTATTGCTTTGCAGTTAGTGAAAAATACAGTTTTGACCATTTTCTCTACCTTTATATATTTTGATTAAGCATCACAAACTTTTACTGAAAATAAAATCTCAAGATTACGATTTAAGCTTTGTGACATAGCACTGGGCTGAGTTGTCATTGCTGTTAGAAAGTATTACTGGTGAAATGCTTAAAGATGTAAAAATCTACGTTTTTATGTTTAGGCATAAATCGTTAAAGCAAAATCGCTCATGGTAGCAAAATATATGCATTAACACGTGGAATGCCATATTGAAGTCAGCAGTCTGAAAAATAATATTTTTCGAAAAATTGGGCAAAGTTTTCCTGAAGTTTCAAGAAACGAATCTTACCTTTTAAAACAATTCTTTGGTGCTTAGATCCAACATTTACTGATTTCATTTTCAATTCATCATTATTAGATCTTTCAAGCATAATTGTGTCCGGTTCAACTGATCCAGAAACAACAGTCTAAAAAAAAGTTTTTAACTTGAAGATTTTTCAAAAATATTGATGGAGACATTTAAATGCTGTTGTAAATTATTTAGCTTAAGTTAGAAATTCAACTTTAAATCAGCAATAACCAGTTTAACTTAAATAAATTAAGGTCTGAAATAGCTTCAATTTCTAAGTTCGAAACTAATTCTAAAGATTATTTACTTAAAAATTATAGTCAAATTAAAATTATTAAGCAACTTCAATCGATAATTCATCTTTACTTTTTTCAGGACAGCTTACTACCGTGAAATGCATAAAATAATCTCTAAAACTATGACACAGAGCAAATTATGAGTTACCTCTCCTAAACCATAATTAGCTGTTATTGTGATAACATCCGGGTTATTATTAACAGGATCACAAGTGAAGATAACTCCAGCTACTTCGCAAGCAACCATCTCTTGTATAACAACAGCCATTGGTGAATTCAAAATCTGCCCATTCTGCCTGCAAAGAATAATACCGAAATATTCAAATTTAAACAAAAATCATTCCTTAAGTAGAAAAGAAGTTAAGCAGTGAGCAAAATAAAAACTAATCAAGTAATTCTCTTTTGACTTAACTTGTCATTAACTCTTTGTCACAGATAGAACACCGGTGCTCTGATTGCCAGCAAAAATATATTATAATATTTTTTAATTATGAAAAACAGTCAAATAATTCTTAAAAAATCTGTCAGATTATTAGAATTATATTTGTACTAAAATATAAAATCCAAAAAAAGCAGTTTTAAATTTTTTTTCGCTCATATTCAAACATTTATCAATAATTGATTTTATGAATGAAAGAAATTCTAGTGATAGATAACTGTTTCTCCAAGATCTAAATAAATGCAAATAAGTGCAAATGTGAAAAATTATCGCTAGAAAGTGAGCCGAGTTTGGAGGATTTTACCTTTAATGCAGGAAAAGACACCAATGTTTCATACTGTATTTCGTAACCAAAAACTATTGAAATACTAATTATAATTTTTTGCTTATTTTAACCTAGATTAATTACAAAATAATGAATAACTTAAAAATATGTTTTAGAAAAATTATGTGCAAAGGGGTTAAAATTTATTTACTTGTCATAAGTCTTGAAACTTTAAATGCACAAAGATTAGGATTACAAATCAATACATATGCTGAACAGTAATTATTTAATAAAGATGCCCATCAAAGTTTTTTGACCACTAATTCACCATACATCACGTTCACGCGGGGACAAGTGAAAATACTGGTAGAAGAACTATTTCAATATTAGATAATATTCGGGAGGAGTTAATCTATTCTCAACAATACAATGTAAGGAAATTTATCACGGCGAAGAAGCAATTCAATATAAAAATTGCATCCGTTAAAAACAATTGGTAGTTATGGATTTTTATTATTCCCGGAAAAAAACTAAGAAATAAAATTTATTTGTTACCAGATTTTACTCCGGTGTGCTGCCAAGATGAGACAATCGAGCGTGACCCACCGGAGGGTCACCCCGTCGTGAACGTGTTAAGTCAAGTAGCTTTGACTCGAAATAAGTGGCAGTAAAATTTTCAAAATAAAATACCTATCTGAATTTCGCGTTTGATTAAACATTTATATTTCATTAGTATATTGTTGTGACAAGGGTATCAAAATTTTGTTATAATTGAAATTATATTAATACTCATGGTCCCCACAAGATTTTTCATTAGTAATTATTTCAAATCAACTTTTTTCGCATTCAAGATTGGTAAGTCTTGAAAATGTGTGACTATTCTGGTTCGCTGGAAACCCCCCGATTGTACTTTTGAAAAGTTTCAGTTTCAGCTGAAAATTTTTCGTTTCAGTTTCTTGGGATTATTCATTTAACATAAAGAGTGTATTTTAGCGCATGAAAATCCGATCATTAGATAAAAAAGATATTCGGGTCTTCTGTATTTATTTTGCTCACTGCTAGCTTTGTTTATAATTATGTGGCATTCATTTCTTACTTCTTATATTCAATAGCTATGTGCCCAAACTGTGAAGCCCAGCATTTCTTGAGAGCATGAAATATCTGCACATAGAAACATTATATAGATATTTAGATAAATTAATTTACATTCATCAAAATTCAAACGTTTATTTATTTATTGATCAACATACATTTGCAGGCTTATGTGTCATGATTAAGGTTCATAATTAAGTTTATGATTAAGGCTCATAAACCTTTGTTAAGTTTAAGGACAGATAGCACAGTACTGTCTTATTTCGAAAAAATAATTCGTCCGTTATTACCATACATATGAATAATTGAGAAGATATATATTCCGTACAATTATTCGATGAAATGATATTTCAAATTGAAGTTGTAGCTATAGTAGCAAGTTTGCGCACTTTTTTTTTAAATTTTGCCTACCGTTTCTATAAATTTTAACCAGTAACTACTGCAAAAGTTTCCTGCATTCAATGCATAAAGTGTTGCCTATGAGATTTTTTTAATTTCGCTTATTTTAATGTATTTACTCTGTTTTTCACTACTATTGGAAAATTCTTTTGAAAAAAGCGAACAATTAACGAAGCTTGTTTTTTAAAAAAATAGTTTTACTTTAATATAGTTTTAATAATAGTATAATATTATGTAGTTTTATATATACTATAAACTTTATATATTTACTTTATGTATAGTTTTATATATACTATATACTTTATATATAGTTTTATATATACTTTAATATTGTTTTATAATAGTTTTACTTAATTTATAGCAACTTTATTGATAGCAATAAAAATTTGTTTTACATTACCTCTTGTAAGCCTTGTACTCCCAAATATGTATCCATTTGACCAGCTGCTGACATGACATCGGTGTCCTCCCCTGAAAAAAAAATATTATCGTAGATCGAATAATACTAAAATAGATAATGAATTGTCGTGTTTTAAACCGCGAATACTTATTTGAGATTAAGTCAATGGAGTGTTTTTCAAAATGCGTAGTTCTTAACAGCATTATTAATTTTAATTTTATAGGCAAACTGATACTCATCTATATGAAGCTTAATGGGCTTCAGACCATGGCTGAAAGCGTAAATATACAGGGTTCCTTGAAAATTTTAAAAAAGTGGTAAAGAAAATAAAACTTTTGTCGATATTTCTGTGTAACAATCACTAAAAATTGTTTTCCAAATAAAATATAAATGCATGAAAATTCCAGCTTGTTAAACCACTTAATGATAAAATAAGAAATTTTGGCATTAACCTAAATTTACTACCACTACTAAATTTTTCAAAGACCGCGGGAGCCCTGATATACCTAAGCGGAAAAGAGCAAAAACTGGAAAGACAAAAATTTCATTTTCGTCTGTTTCCAAAAAAATTAAAACATCCATGATCACCAAGAATTTTTTAACACTTACAACAAATGTTTGGGACTGTTTTAGTTGTGATTTTTCTATAGTTACCAAAAAGTACGAATTTAAAGTTAAAACGTCAAGATGTATGGGAATTCCTCAGATGGCCAGATAAATGTTAATTATGATGATTTCATTCCATTATTGGCATTATATCATTTTCTATGATCAATATTATCGGCAGCTAAACATTTGAGGACGATAATAGTCTATAATTTAGACTAATACTATTTTGTTTTACATTTCACCAAAACCAATTGGAAATGAAATAATGTTACCACTAGTTTATTCTTGTTCCCACCCTACTTTCAAGCCTTCTTCAATCCACCACCAGTTCTTCATAATGATAGCTTATTATCTTAACTACTTGTGCCATATCAGCTCAAATGTTTTATATCATAGATGTCAATCCGAATGTCTTGACCAGTGGCGTACGCAGAATTTTTTCAAGGGGGTATCATAATTTTCAGAAATTACTAACAGAAATTCGAGTATGTAATAAAGCAATATTATTCCCTAATTTAGACACCTAGACAATTTTGACTTTTTATTTCGAC